TTATATCATCTGCATAACTGTCATTATTTGTCAGGAAATTTCATCATAACTCATATTTTATATAACCAGTCTATCACAGCAGGCAAACAGTGTGCTCCGATCTTTGCGGTTATGTGTGATGCTATAGTGGATTTAATACTTCAGATGACTTGGTTGTATAAATATGGGATGAGAAAACAACAATGTGTATCTTGGATCCGGATAGAAACTCCAGTATACTTTATTTAATAGCCAATGCATAATTAATGTCAGTTATTTCAGTTGGCATGTAAACTATCCTGTGCTTTCATAGCCAGGAAGTCCCGCTGTCTTTGTAAAGGTGCTTTGTAGCTATTTTATTCATTTGAAGATTCACATTGGAAGTTGAATTCTCATTAGTAATGTATCCGTACAAGTACAGAAGGGCAGTGTATTCTGAGTCAAGGAAATTGATAGTAAGTGTAATGTATTCTTTTGTCACTTAACACTGAAAGGTAGTAGGAAGATAAAAATTGTCATTAATTGCTGAAAGTGTTGAAACATGCCCATTAAGTAGGAAATAGGGAAGTGAAGTGTGTTGATGAAAATTGAAGACAGACTTATTACCTTCTTGGCTCTTCCTCTGCATTTTGAAGGAGATGCGGGAGACTTGGAACTTTCATTCATTCATCATTCTGGAACCATAAGTATTTTGTTATTGTACATATATGTTCTTATTTTTCTTTTTAAATTTTTTATATTTCATTTTATGTGTAAGACTCTTTTGCCTGCATATTCATCTATGCATTACAGAAGTTCCTGGTACCTGCAGAGGCTAGAAGAGTGCATCAGATCCTTTGGAACTGGAGTGACAGATAGTTTTGAGCTGCAGTGTGAGTGCTGGGAGCTGAACCTCAGCCCTCTGGAAAGGTAGCCGGTGCTCTGAGCTGTGGGGAGGCATCTCTCTAGTCCTTTGTTTTTATTTTTCATAGGAGAATTTATCAAGATATCATCAACCATGCTCGCGTAGTGAGGTGTTGGAACTAAAAAGTGCCATAGAATTCTACCATGCTATTTCTACTTCTCTTTCAGTTTGCACCTTGTCAGTGTTTTTATTTTTGCTTTATTGAGTGTGCGGGAGGATGATGTGTGCTGTGCACATATGTTAAGCTCAGAGGACAACTTTCAGGAATTGGTTCTCTTTTTACACCATGATGTGGGTTCCCAGGATTGAACTCAGATCCTCAGGCACATGTGGCAACACATTGACCAGCTGGGCCATCTCACTGACCTTAAAATAGCACATTTTTAATTGAATTAAAACAAATCTTCGTATCCATTACCATCAGGACTCTTGGTATGCGTGCTCCTCAGCTTCTCTCAGCCTGAAAGTACATCATTTTTGCCTTCCTCGTTTCACAGAATGGCCTTCATTATTCCCTGTCCGTGACCCAGAAGTCACTCGTGTAAATGATTCTTCCACATTACCCCACATTACCCATGGGAACCTGTAATTTAATGACTTATTGCATACCAGACCTACTTTAATTACCTGGATTGTGGTATGGATCACTCAGAACATCATTCTAAGTTCTATGTTCTGTTCTAGGTTCTATGTTCTAGATTAATAGTTACTTTTTACACATTGTAACACTTCGTGTTCAAAAGAATCATTGTCTATTCAGAAATTTATTGATGGGCACCTTGCCTGACTCCCCTAAGAGACTCTCCCTCATTAACATTCCTAGGATAGTATCATTTCTCTAGTAATAATGTTTGAAAGATATGCATGGTATTGAGATTATAAATTCAAAATATAGGTGTGTGTGTCACTTAATATGGTGGATACATTTTTGTTGTACAGGTGTTATGTAATATTAATGTAACTCGTGAACATCTAGGCTCTGTGGTGTCATAATCCTGTATGCAGCTTTACTGTTAAATCAAAACATTTTGCATACTGCAGTTGTATGTGTGTATATATTTGTGTATATCTCTTCTATATATCATGCATTTTATGTTATTTATCTGAGATATAGAGTATACATATCTTGTGTGTTATATGTGTAATACAGTGGTATGTGTATTCCTAATATATGTATACATAAATTTGATCTTATTTATTTTTCTGCATCTTTTAAAAAAAGCATGCTTTTATACCTGTTAAAGGCAATGTACTAAAAGTGTAAAGGAACAGTCACAGAGGGCACTATAAAGTTACCCGGCAGCCCCCTCCCCCCAAACTTGTTGGCTGTGGTGAAGACAAGAGAGAGATGAGAGAGATGCCCTCCTCCCATTCTTCATCCCTTGCCACCTGTGGTAGGCAGGAGACTGGCCCAGAGGTCATGAGAGTGGGAGAGCTTGCCCTGTCCCTCACTGGCTGCGGCCTTCAAGAAAACAAGCCCTACACTGCCTAGGCAGCACTGCAGAGCTGGCTCTGTGGCATGGCCATGGGTGAGCTGGCTCTGAGAGCGTGAGAGGAGGAGAGCTGGCTGCGACATTGGATGAGCTAGCCAGGGTAGTGCTGGAGAGCTCACTCCGGCAGTGTGGGTACATTGAGCTCACAGATTAAGCAACTCAGATACCTCCCAGGTCCAGAAGAAGGGCTTTAAGTTGGCCAATTCCTGTATCTATCCCATCTATGAACTTCTGCAGTGTGTGAAGAGGCCAGTCCTACAGATCTGTATGCAGGATCTCCATGACACATGGCAACAACCAGCTGTCTGAGCGGAGTCACAGTGAGGATCTGGTAGAGTAGCAAAAGCCAGGGGTCTTGAGCCACAGCAATGGCTCATGCAGTGAAGGAGAGACAAATGAACATGCTACGGGACACACTGTGACACACTGCAGCTTCTACAACGAGATTTGGGGAGAGGGGAGGGGAATGTTTGCAATGGCAAAATGAATGGGATTGGGCCGAATAATGTGAAAATCACAAAGAACCAATAAAAAGTCTAGGAGGAAAAAAAAAAAAAAACCTAGCTAGCAGGGAGAAGTTTCCAGATGAGTTTTAGCTTGGTTTATCTATCTTTCAAATAAGGTATATGGTGTCTTTGGTAATAGGGTCTTGTCCATCTGGTTCTGGTGGGCAGCCAGGAGAAAAAGCGATAACATGTATTGTTCTGGGAACTTGTGGGCTCCCGTGACTAAGAGTTTATACGGAGATGCCCCATGCCTGGTACAAGAAGCAGCATTATTCAGCTATGTAGGGTAGCTCTTTGGCAGTTGCAGTCTTCGACTTGTATACTGTAATCATCTTACATGGTAGGTCTCAGTGTAGCTTCCTGTGGCCTCTTAGTTAGCCAGCCCTCTCTCATTGCTCCCTCTTCCCTCTGCCCTGTCCCTCCACCCTATTCCTGTTGAACCTTTCAACACCCACCATTCCCCTCTCTGTTTTCATACTGCCTGTGTTCTAAGCTCACTTCCTTAAGATGTGTACCTCCTCCCCGCTCTTTTCCAGTTTCGTTTCTCCAGGTTTTCCAAGTAAAACCCAGAAATATAAAGAAGCTTTACTAAGAGTAGTTCATTTAAAAGATAAGCCAATTCTGTGGAAGAATCTAATATTATTACAAGTCTCTGATCCTAGTCATAGCAAAATGTGCCCAAGGGTAGCCTTGAAATTGTTAACTTTCTGGTGAAGAAGTCAGAGTATGTTATAGGAATCTTTTCCAAATTTTCCAACCAAACTGCCCAGCCAAAATCAAGACTTTTCACTTCTACACAGTGCACTGAGAATCCCTTTCTCCTTATTTTGACTCTAATTTTATTTTATTCTTTTTTTGACTTTGTTCTACCACAGACCAATAAAAACAAGCATTTTCTCTCCCTTTTTTTTAGAAGTCTGCAATGTAAACTAGGACAATTTCCACCCTAATCAAACCCTTCTATCTGGTCTATGACTTAATCTCAAGAAAACAGGTATTTTTTTTATAGATGCTGATTTCTTCAGTGCTTGTGATAGCTTTTACTGTTTGCCACATTTTTGCAACATTTTCAATGTTATGATAGAAGACAGACACATAACATTTATTCAGTTTTTAACATACTTAGTTTTGAGATTTAACAAACTTTCTGAATACAATTTATCCATGAGAGTGATAAATTGGTTGTTTTGACATAAAAACAAGAAAATTGGCATTGTTTAGTGTTTCCTTTTTATCCCGAATCTTTATTTTGCTAAACCTCTTAATTTTTTTCTCTTCCATGGCAGTTCAGTAGTCCTGCTGTGTCAGGTCTCCATACCTGTGGTCTCTCAGAATTTCAAGAAATAATTGATAAGATTTTTTTTCATTATCAGCTGTGTGCCAGTTGAGTTTTTCAGTAAGCTCAAATGAATTGGTGTGTGTGAAAAAGACAAGATGGTATTAATTAAAAGATAAGCCAAGAAAACATGTTATTTTGTTACAATGATTTGAAAAGCCAGATGTCAACAGACTTATTTTCATCCCTGAGAGAATGTATTGGGAAATTAACTGCAGATTGTTCAAAAATTCATGAAGCATATTTCATTCTTTTTGAAAGATGCTATAAAAAGTGAGGTAAAGAAATAGGCTAAGATAAGTGGCCTTGCTTTACAAAAACAGGCAGGCAGTGTTTGGCGAAGACCTTCCAAAGGGAGGGAGGGTAAAGTTCCATGGCGCCTAAGAACACCTTTCTGCAATGCTGTCTCTTAGGTAGACACCCTTAGCAGCTTTCCTGTTGATAAAAATGCTGATGCACTGTTCATTTTAATTAATAAAATAGTAGGTTTCACTAGATACATTTGTAATGCTTTTCGTTAACCTGAGTCCGTGTAATGTTCCCTGTTTTGTAGACCAGCACGCTAATTTTTGAGCAGCTGAATAGCTATTCCATGCCACTAAAGCTTACTGTTATCCTCCCTCTTGCCGATGCCATCTGTCAGGAACAAAAGCAAAGATGAAAATCTCATCTAGTCATAAGGTTTCTTAGTGCGCCTCTACAGAAGCGCGTCCATCTGGGGGCGAGGGGCTAATGCTCCATACTGAAGGTATTTGAAGGCAATCCTTCTTACCTCGTTGCAGATGGGGAACTCAAGGAGATTTCACCACCACCCACCCTCGACCTGTGGTCAAGGTGAAGCTCTTCACAGAAAGCACAGGGGTCCTGGCCCTGGAAGACAAGGAACTTGGCAAGGTGAGTGTTCCTGCATGAGTGACCTGTGTAGCATGGCACTGCCTTGAGACAGAGGCAGATAGGCCAGCAAGATGGTGCAGTGGTTGAAAGCACCCGGGGCCAAGCCCCAGGGCCTGAGCTCACCCGCTACAATCTACATGAAGCATGGCTAGGTACCAAACTCCGTAGGCATGCCGTGGCACACAGCAGCCCCCATCCATTCACATGCACAGGCGCACACAAAATGAGTTAGTAACCGGGGAAAAGAATATAAGACTACTTACTTGTAATTTTCCATGAAGGCACCTTACTAAGCGTAGCTATGTGTAATCTAGAAAGTACTGTGGTAGGGTTTCCATGTCTACCAGGTACACATGGGCTCAGAGGCACCAGCTCCATCTTTCCCTTCTGGCAGCTGAATGCCGTTCAGACCAGCCCACTTGTCCATCCTGGTGAGATGTCAGTCTCATGGAATGCTTCCGCTCCAGAGTCGTGGGCCATTTTTAGTGCACACGGCCACCTGCAGTATATATCTGCGGCGGTTAGCCAGGTTAGAAGCCTCCAAAGGGTGTTTCTCTCTTCTCTCTCTGCTTTCCTACTGGTGTGGCTTTTCTCACACACCTTTTAACGGTGCATAAGCATATCTTCCTGCAATCACTGCCTGTTCTAGAATCTGTAGCCTTCTGTATCCAATGGGGCCTTAAAGGGCTAAGGTGTCCAGGACTGCCGCAGCCCACTGTGGAAGGAGATTTGCTGTCTTATGAAGTAGATATGTTCGGAGAAGTGAGGCTGACTTCTATATGAATGCATATCGTTCAGATAGGAAAACGGCAGTCACAAGTATTTTCAAGAGAGTCAACATTTACAACTCTTACATATTCTTTTGGAATCATGATTGATGGCTCTTGCAATTATAGATATGGAAGAACGTTGGCAGCATTCTGTGTTTCGGTGATTTTTCCCTCTCAGAATTGTGTTTTTAGCCACTTTAATTCCTCTTCTATGTTTCTGACACTGTTGGAATTTTTGCACACTCAAATCCCAGATTACTTCTTCTTTGGCTTCAGTACGTACATTGAAAGATTAACTTTTTACTCATATAATCACATACTCATGCATTTATCCGTGTGTGAAGGTGCCTGTAGCATACTCTAGCAAATGAACATGTGATTTTTATGAATGAGAGTTGTTCACCTAAACTATAATTACACTAATTTACCTGATCTCTCATTGTAACTGTTTGTCAGTATTAAGTAGAAGCCCTTTGAAACCTAACTTTGTATGTAATTTTTTCCATATCTTAACTCATGTTAAATGATCGAACAATATCTTTTGGCAATTTTTAAGTTGAACATGTGAGGGATGTATTTTGCTGTATAACTGTTAATCTGAAACAACACATGCACACACTTGAAAAGCAAGGAAATTTTTCTATGGGTTTCCCAACTTTAGTATGATAATATTTGAGTAATATACTTAGTGTTGGGTACTGCCTTGTTCATTTTACATTTAATGTCATCTCTGTCCCCTACTCAATAAACGTCAAAGCACAGTAATCAGAAAGCTTCAAGACGTTGCCAGGTGCCTCCCAGAGGCCCATACAAAGTCATCCATCCATGTTTGAAAACCACTAGTCTATACAAATGACCTAAGTAGGTTTGAAGATTACATATATTATTGGTGTGTCAGTGACTTCCGGAGTTATTTTCCTTCTTTGGGGTTTCAGATTTCTGTGCTGACTGTGAAGAAGCAGAACACAGGATTTACATGCGCATGAAATACTATCCACACAGACGCAGTCAGCCACTGACATAGAGTGCTTCTTCTTTCTCCTGGCCTCACTCCAATATCCCGCCCATTTTCAAATTCTGTCCACTTCCTCAGGGTTCTCCTGTTTCTGTAGACCCCTGAGTGTGTCCTCCAACCCGACTCCAGGTGCTGTCATCTATCACACGTGCTGCTTTTACGGATCTGCTTCTGCGTTTCCATTTGCTGCCGTGGCCCCTTTAATTCAGCCCTTATACTCCAGCCACCGTGGCTTGTTAAAACATCAGAAACGTTCCATCATGCTATCCTTACAGTCACTCAGTGTCTCTCCAGTTATTGGAGTGAAAAGCCACCTCTTCATCGTAGTGTGGCTGACAGGGACTCGCTCAGCTGGAGCAGCAGCAGCAGCACCTGGACATTCCTGTAAAACGCTGCTGATTTTCAGGTCCCACTTTAGACCAGCCAACTCAGCGCTTTGGGAGTGGGCAGTGCAGTGCATTTTAACTGCCATTCTTGTTGACTTGGACACATGCCAGATCTAGAGACACCCTCCTAGAGCTGACCTCTGCTTCCAGGTCCATCATCATACATGGACATGATAACCTCTGTGCTACCGTAACTCACTCTTAACATCTGGCTTTTTTTTAAATTCTTTCCTACTTTTCAAATGTCTGCTTCTTATTCCTGCTTTAGACTTGAGGTATCTACATGGTGATCATTGCTATATGGGAGGACAATGCTAATGCCATTTATACATACACTTACATAGTTTATTGATAGCCCATTTCAGTTCAAAGCCAAAGAGCTTAGATGATGTGAAATCTAATGTCTAAAATATCAAGAATAGACCTAAGCAAAAATTTTTATACATGAGAAATTTACTTCAAATGTGCAACAGTTGAACTTCAAAAACAGCAGCAAAGATGCAGAATGGGTGTATGCCACAAGGTACCACTGTAAACCTACTAAAATTGCTAAAATACAGAAACAGTAACCATAACTAATGCTAGTAAATATGCAGAAGAAACTCGTGTATTGATGGAGGTAATGCAAAATCGAGAACTTTCTTAATTTTAATATAGAGCTATCATATGACCTCCACGCTTGACTTCTCACTATATACTTTACATTTTCACAAACGCTGTGTGTCATATAGCTGTGTTGATAAACTGTAATAATATATCCATGCAGTGAAATACTATTCTGTACTAAAAACAAAACAAATTATTAATTCATGCAAACATGTACATAAAACTTATTTCCCAAAGGATGATGAAGTTTATGGTTACAGTCATTCTAGGAAAATAAAAAAAAAAGCAGTAAGAATGGAAACCTCACGGGGTATATACTCACTTACAAGTGGATATTAGACATATAATATAGGATAAACATACTAAAGAAGCTAAGCAAGAAGGAGGACCGTGAGTAAGATGATCAATCCTCCTCAGAAAGGCAAATGGGATGGACATCGGAAGATGAAGAAAACAGGGAACAGGACAAGAACCTACCACAGAGGGCCTCTGAAAGACTCTACCCAGCAGGGTATCAAAGCAGATGCTGAGACAGTCAAACTTTGGGCAGAGTGCAGGAATCTTATGAAAGAAGGGGAAGAGAGAAAGACCTGGAGGTGACCTGGAGCTCCACAAGGAGACCAAAGGAACCAAAAATCTGGGCACAGGGGTCTTCTCTGAGACTGATACTCTAACCAAGGACTGTGCATGGAGATAACCTAGAACCCCTGCTCAGATGTAGCCCATGGCAGCTCAGTGGGTACCCTAGTAAAAGGAACAGGGACTGTCTCTGATATGAACTCAGTGGCTAGCTCTTTGATCACCTCCTCTTGAATGGGGAGCAGCCTTATCAGGCCATAAAGGAAGACAATGCAACCAGTCCTGATGAGACCTGATAGGATGGGGTCAGATGGAAGGAGCAGAGGACCTCCCCTATCAGTGGACTTGGAGAGGGGTGTGGGAGGAGAAGAGGGAGGGAAGGTAGAACTGGGAGGGGATGAGGGAGAGGGGGCTATGGTTGGGATACAAAGTGAATAAATTATAATTATAAAAAAAATTTAAGGCAAAAGAAAAAATAATGGAAATGTAATTGCTTTCTGAGAGACTGAGTAATTGGGTAGTGGTTGGCTGTAGAGTCCCTCACTTGTAGAGTGATGGACCCCTTCTGTATGGTACAAAGGACTGGAATGATAAGTATCTATTTGCTAAATTCCAAAGAACTCTACATTTTGTAGAATGTACTTTGAAATATGCATACTAACCCTTGCTCACACACACACACACACACACACACACGTATACATACACACACACAAACATATCAACCTACTGTAACAAAGGGATTCCCATGTGAAATAGAAGTTGTATTAAATAAAATTAATCATACTAAAAATACAAAAAAAAAAATCCCTTAAAGGAGTGGTGAAAAAGACTTGGCTCTAGGTAAGTAAGACAAGAAAAATAACCTGCAAGCAGCAAGCACTCCCATATGGCCAGAAGACCTGCCGCTGTGATACCAGTGCAACTCTTGTGTCCCTCTTACGCAATGCTGCAAGCAGGCCATGCTGAATACCCATGTCACTCTTTCCTCAAGCCCCAACATGAGCCCTTTTCAGGCTGGAGAAAGTTATCAGGCAAAGCCGCATTTGGGACAATGTGCACAATGACTGGGCAGGGCTCTTCAGGACTCTCAAACTTATAAGAAAAAGAAAATGACACTGATAAAATGTCAGAGAAGAAGACTTGACTAGTAAATGCAGTGTGCTCCGTTGGATTAGCTCTTGAAACAGAAATGATACTAATTGAAAAACAGCTCAAATCCAGGCGTGTCTGCAGTTTAGTTGTATGGGTGGACTATTTTAAACATTTTGTTTTTGATAGATATTCTATAGTAATGTATACTGATTGGGTTTTTTTGTTTATTTGTTTGTTTGTTTTGTTTTGTTAGAAAACTTGGTCAGGTGTGTAGAAAACTTATCTGCACTAATTTAGCAACTTTTTTGATAGTACTAAATTACTGTATAACATAAGCCTTAGTTGTAGGAAGACATAATTAAAAATGTCACTAGACATTTGTTTGTAAGTCCTATCTATTGACACATTATTTGTGCTATTATTCTGTTTGTTTCAAAGAAGGAAGCTGAGAACCTAAATAAATACTCTAGGGATCCCATAACTCACCACTTTGAGTATGTACGAACACATTGCGTGAATCTTAACTAGAAACTTGCTGCATATTATCTT